GCAGGTGGGAATAATCCTGGCCTTGAGAGAAAGGATCTCCAGCATTCCAGAGGCCTGCTGTGCTTTGTCCCACAGCTTTCTGCCCTTTACTAGTTTCTTGAATTGTACTTGTGGACTTTTCCTCAGGGATACATTGGCCTGCAGGTCCCAATTCATATGTAATCCCCTGCTCAGCACTGGAGAATCAGCTCACTGCTCTCTAGAAATGTTGCGTTGGTGAATGGACCATGCTTCGGTAGCTCTGACCTGGGCAGCTTGGACCTGGTCATCCTCTGTTGCCATACCTTTCCCCGGGGGCCTACACACAGAACAGGGAGGTGGACAACCATGTCAAAGACCCACCAAATGCAATCTCTGCCTGACTGGGCCCACGGCTCCCTTCTCCTGGGACTTGAGAGAGGTCCAGATTTAAGGCTTCTCTACTCATTCAACTCCCTCACCACTGGTACTCCCAATCAAAGAACCTCAAAGTTAAAATGATGTGGATGGGAATATGGGGGAGGGAATGAAGGGAAGTAATCACTGTGCTTTGTTCAGACTGACTTATATAAAAGGATGGTGTTTTTCCTGCATTGTATCTTTTCTTACTGTTTCTTTAATAAATGGGATGAGAGGGCTGCTCCTGTCAATCTATTTTGTTACCAGTTCTGTAGAGAAGGAAGTATCCTGCTTTTCATTATTTCAACTTAGTGACAAACTTACAAATGCTTCTGCTTCAGGAGGAAGCAAGCTTTGGTTTTTAGCCTTAACAAGGACTCATCTGTCAGTTATTTCACCAAAGAGTCTACTCGACCTTTACATGAAAGTTAAACCACCACGAGTCTGGAGGTATCACACTCATGGGTGGGTGGGCATAGTGTATTTCACAAGTCCAGATAGAGGCAGCTGCGACAACATTTCCTACTTGAGTCCCATGGATAAAACTGTTTCTACTAATTCCTCTTTGGAACTGGAATAAAGAACTTTCACTAAGTACAAAAGAGGTTGTTCAGATATCAGCATTATGTGAGAATCTTTATTTTGACAAGTGCAGTATAAAAAATTTGACTTAAAAAAAAGGAGCAGGAAAAAATAAATATGCTTACAAATTGTAGAAACAATACAAAAGGATTAAAATTCTCAATGAGGAAAAACCAAAACATGTCCAGCTGTATAAAGGTTCTTCCCTTGTAAGAAACGGGGATAAAGCTGAAGACCCAGTTTGGTTTTGCTGCTGAAAAATGTACAAAATAACTTAGAAAAAGCCGTTGAGGTCAAACCTTGTGTGTTCACTACCTGTACCTGACTACTTTTGAGCTGAGGCAAGTTAACCGCAGTGCAAGGTAGAGCTGATGGTAGGACAGCCAGGACTTCATCCACTTTCCATCATCCTACATTAACCTTCAAGTAAAAGCTGAGGAAAAACAAGCCCTTAGTGAGGTCGGAGCTCTGCAGTTGGCTGAGCAGATTTCCTCCACTGTGGTGCTCAAAATTGTTTACTTCTTGGCTAGTAGAGCTGCCTTTAGTAAATGTCTGTTGCCTCCCAGCCTTCATGGGTTAGGTCTGATGCCAGCCAACAGTCCTTTTTTTTTTTTTGAGACAGAGCCTTAAGCTGTCCCCCTGGGTAGAATGCTGTGGCATCACAGGTCACAGCAACCTCCAACTCTTGGGGCTCAAGCGAGTCTTCTGCCTCTGCCTCCCAAGTAGCTGGGACCACAGGCGCCCACCACAACGCCTGGCCATTTTTTTGTTGTTGCAGCCGTTGTTTGGTGGGCCTGGGCTGGATTTGAACTCACCACCTTAGGTGTATGTGGCTGGCGCCTTAGCCACTTGAGCCACACTGGCCGAGCCTCTGGTTATATTCTTATCAGGCAAGACTCTTCCCTCCCTCAGGCTGTCATTGCTCCTGTACCTATCAGAAGTTAACAGCGAATTGTATAACACACTACTGAGTTTCCTCCGGATCCCAGGAGAAATACAATCTTTCCCAGAGTCTACTGCCTATGTGCTGCAGATGTGAGCAGATGGGCGGCCTAAGAGCATGCAAGTCCTCTCTGCTCTGAACCTTGGAAAGTGTTGCCTTATACTATAGTCACTATTCTTTACATTTTAGATTTGCCCTTTGGACCATTAAGAAATTAAAACAAAAGGATGGAGGAGTCGGAACCTGAGCGGAAGCGGGCTCGCCCCGACGAGGCAACTGCTGGAGGAAGCCGCTCCGAGGCAGAAGATGATGACGAAGCCTATGTACCTTATGTGCCATTACGACAAAGGCGGCAACTACTGCTTCAGAAGCTTCTGCAACGAAGACGCAAGGGAGCTGCAGAGGAGGAGCAGCTTGACAGTGGCAGTGAGCCCCAAGGAGATGAGGACGACATCCCACTGGGCCCTCAGTCCAACGTCAGCCTCTTGGATCAGCACCAACACCTCAAAGAGAAGGCTGAAGCCCGAAAGGAGTCAGCCAAGGAGAAACAGCTGAAAGAAGAAGAGAAAATCCTTGAGAGTGTGGCTGAGGGCCGAGCTTTGATGTCAGTGAAGGAGATGGCTAAAGGCATCACTTATGATGACCCAATCAAAACCAGCTGGACACCTCCCCGTTACGTCCTGAATATGTCTGAAGAGCGTCATGAGCGTGTACGGAAGAAATACCACATATTGGTGGAG